TTTATATAAAGCATACAAAGCATATACATCGACAAGGAACCGCAAAACTCAAAGTTTAAACTTCGTGACCGAATGACATAAAACTGACATGTCAACTCTAGCATTTTCGTCCTTGGTCGCGTAATTTTGAAAACGGGTGTAATGTCAGATGTTAAGTAGGATTCAGTATCCATGGAACTTTCAGAGTACAAATCTGACAGATCTGAATTGTCAATGACAATGCCAGCAAGGTCAGCAAGCTCACACCATTAGAACTTGTTAATGATTGAAGGGAGGTGGGTATGAAAATTTTCACTTACATTGAAGGGGGTTACGAAAATTTTTCCATAGGTTTTTGGGAGGGTATGGAAATATGTACTTGAAATTTCATTTATCCTCCATCCCCCTCTAGTAATTACTCTATGAGCGGTCCCATACAAAGTTTCTGTGATCATTCACAGTAGGAATTTTGCATCGGTAAATTCTGAATGATTTGTAAGACATTTTTGAGGATAATGACAAAGTGTTTAATACTGAGCAGTTCCCTCAAAGATTTCTTACAAGTCCTTCAAAACCTACATATTTACTTAAGCAAAATTCCTACTTGATGGTGTGAACCAGCCTTTAATCTGTGTTTCCATTTCGTAGGAAAGAGAAAAGAAAGATGAAGAAGCGAATGAATTTGTCAGCGCTGTTTCATGGAGAACTGTGAGTAATTTTTGTTATTATATAATGTAAACTAAACTAACCTTTTTTATCTTGGATAGCTCTATCAATGGCTGTCACACCGATATTAATTATTGCTTCGTCTTTCTCAGGGGTCAAACGTTGTTGTGGCTGCTAACAGTCAGGGAACTATAAAGGTACGTTGCCTTTCTTTAAAATTATTATTTATATACCCATTGTGACTGCTGATTCAAGGCGGGCCAGGGGGGAGCATTGGAGAAAAAATAACCTTGGCATGGAGCCAAGTAACATGTTTTTATGAATTGAAAATAATTGTTTTGATAAAAAAAGAAAAGGTTTTCCGCAACAGTTTTAGACTTCTTTATTTTTTGAAAAATAACTCCAAAACCAAGGAGAAGTATTGAAGGAAAAAATGTTAGACTTAATAACAAGTAATTTTTATGAGTTAAAATAATTGTTTTGATTAAAAAAAAGTTTTTTTGACCATCCGCAACAATTTTAGAATATTTTTTAATTTTTGAGAAACGACCCCGAAACCAAAGGGCTGATCACAGGACAAAAGGGGGACTATTGAAGAAAAAAATTCAAATTTATCGTTACATTCACTTTTCCCACTTAGGTCTTAGAGTTGGTGTAACTATGGCGCCAACATTAATCTCAAAGTTGCAGTTCAATGATGGGTTTGTTAAACCATTTCAAGAATACGTATCGTGACATTTAATTTATTTTTCTAAACTCGTGTGTGTATAAACAGGCCACTGATCTAAAAAACAAATCTGGATAGCCTGAATATGTATAATAATAAGAGACTTCTAAGTCTGTCAAATTATTCAGCTATCGAATTGTTAGATGTTTAAAAGGGCATATGACTCGAACATTGACGTTGTTATTTCTTAGTCAATTTGAAAGATCATCGAAAAACTGTAGAGTAACTTCTTTGACAGATTTTTGTTTTCTTGCTTCGTTTTGGAGATATTTCTTTTTGTATGATATGCAAAGGACCAACTTTCTACGACAAACATGCACAATAACTTACTTTAAAATGTTATATAATTTTGTCACTATCAAATAAATTCGCTCAAAATCAATGATGAGCACGAGATTTGTCCACAACAACACCCATGTAGATTTTGTACTGATTGTGTTTAGTCGTATTAAAGATATACAGCTTTAGGGCTACATAATTATGCTGATATGTGACGTAGGAAGTTGGTCCTTTGCATATCATACAAAATGAAAGATCTTCAAAACGAAGCAAGAAAACAAAAATCTGTCAAAGAAGTTACTCTACAGTTTTCAATGATCTTTAAACTAAATTAGACTAAAAAAAATAACAACGTCAATTTTCGAGTCATACGCCCTTTAAGAGGCAATTTTTTAATGCCGCGCACAGAAAAAACCCGCATATAAGAACCAAGATTTTCCAAATGAGTCTAAACAGGTTCTAAAGGCCCATTTCCACTCAAGAAAAATTTCCATGGACAGAAAATTTTCCGAAAATATCATTGTTAAAACCTCAAAAATTTTTTTCCGACGGAAAATTTGTGTCAGCCAATCAAATTGTACAAAATTTTCTTTCTGCGGAAAATTTTCCTGAGTTGAAAAGGGCCTTTATATATGTAAATGTTCTTAACAGGAAATTAGGCAAAACCATTGAAATGAATATAACTGGAACGCAACCTTCATAAACTGCCTAGGCCAAAAAAAAATATGTGGGTTTCCGGTTTTTTCTTATGAAAACTTAGGTGGGGTAGGTCGGTTTTAACCTTTTTTTTTAAACTTTTTTTTTAATTTTCCGAACAAGCGGACGCCATTTTGTTTAGTCAGTGCTTCCACATCAAAAGATAAATTTCCCTAATATTGCCTCAAATTTCAATTTTCCACAAACTTTTTCCTCTAAGTGGAAACACTTACAAGCATGATCCAATAAAAAAGTTTAGGGTCGGGATTTTGACGTCCAAAAGCTAGGTAGGGTCGGAAAACCGGAAACCCACATATTTTGTTTTGGCTATATCTTCTTGAAACCAAATCTGACCTTCCTGAAAACATATTGAACTGTAATGTTCCAGGGGGGTGAATGTCTCTCTTCATTTATGCATAGCGGGTGCGCTATCCAGTGCTAGGTTTCAGATCAGTGTCTCAGACGGTGGGGGAGATATTATGCAATCATGGTGGACTCTCTCCCTCAGACTTTTTAGCATTGGCAGAAATATTTGTCTCCATGCATGTCGTATATAAAACTGGCTATGTACACATTTGGCTAACATTTGTTTCAACCCAATTTACAACTTTAAAAACTCGCATGCTTAATTATCATTGTTCTAGTATACAGAAGCATAGAATAGAGTAGAACAAAGGCAACTATAAACTTTAGAATTATCTTCACAAGTGAATAACTCTGTATCAAAAAAATGTACACCCTTTCAAATTCAAATTATATACAGGGTGTCCCCAAAAAAGTACAGGCACAGGATTTTATGCGACTGGTAATTAAAAATTCAATTCAATTAGCCTTTCTCACGCCGCCATTTTTGGTGTACTGTAATTTTTCGTAAACGATTATAACAATGTGAAAAGCAATATTTCAGAACAAACCAATGGAACAAACTAACTATTTGCAGAGTAAATTTACCATCATACACCCATAAAATTATAAAATGTCGCCGTTACGAGGTGTTACCTTTGCAGGATTGGCAAAAAAGTACCCCATGTGCAGAAGACCTTGTGTTTTCACGCATTCATTAATTCGAGAAATTATACGGCTGTCATATTGCTACAATAGGTTACGGTTAATTTGAAAGGGTGTACATTTTTTTGAAACACCCTGTATATAATTCTAAAGCTTGTTTACCTTTGTTCTATATTCTATGCTTCTGTA